AGGAATTTGAGGTTGCTGTGAGCTAGGCTGAAGCCACGGCACTCTAGCCCGGGCAACAGAGCGAGACTCTGTCTCAAAAAAAAAAGGAAGTCAGAGGAGTATCTACAGAAATTTCATGTAATAAATACATGTTATATGCTAATATATACATTTTTAAACCAAAATTATATTGATCAGAAATACATGCACACGTGGCAAAACTTTAAAAAAAAATCAAGGAAATTACTAGTGCAAAATTCAGATCGCCTCTATGTGTCATGGATACCGGCAATATTAAATATCTTTAGCAAAGTGTTGGCATTGCAAAAAACTCTCACCGTTTTTCCTGTTCTCTCACGCGACACAGCAATCATCAACACAGAAGACCTCTGCGACCAAACGTAGGGGGCTGGGTTTCTCCCCACCACCAAGCGGACAGTCGATGCTGCAGTGGGCGCCAGCAGGGTGTCCCCCAGTTCAATTCCGACTCTGGCTACCTGGAGATAGTATCGGATCCCACGGGTTGAGGGCTCAGTCCTCCAAACTGCCCCACCTCAGACGCCCGTAGGGGCCTCTGGAACTTCTGACAGCCTGGCTTCAAGTTGGGGTTCCCACAACCCCCTCTGAGTTCAATTAATTTGCCGGAGTGGCTCACAGAAGTCAGGAAAACACTTACCGATTTATTACAGAGAACATTACAAAGGATACGGACGAGGAGATGCTCCGGGGGAGGTACAGGGGACGGGGCTCAGAGCTTCCACGCCCTTCCCTGTGCGCCCAGCACTGCAGGGACCTCCAGGTGTCCGGCTGTCCCGAAGCTCTCCGGACCCTGTCCTCTTGGGCCTTTTGTGGAGACCTCATTGGATACGCGTGATTGACGACCACGTAGAGATGTGACCGGACAAAAAGCCAGCAGGGCCTGTCTGTCCGGATTCTTCTTGGCCTCCCGGTGCAACATTCCTTCCTCCAGGCTGTGGGGCAGGACCCCTCTGGAATGAGGGTCTTAATGACCCACAGATCAGAGTCCTGCCCGGTAAGAGGAAGGCGGGAGAAGGTCAGAGAGACAGAGACTCTGTTTACAGGAACAAGGGCTGCGGGAGTTAGGAGCCAGGAGCTGGGGACGAGAACCCATGCATAAATATCACCATATCGCACGGGGGCTCCCGGGTGTTCGTTTCATTAAGCTTTTAAGCCACGCCTGTGTGTCGTATGCACTCTGGTCTACAGATTTCCTTTAGAATTTCAAAGGGATGGCTTTCAGGTCTCCTACCAGCTGACGCGGCCGACGAGAAGTCAATTGAATTCTCAGTCCTTTGGAAGCCGTCTTTATCTGGCAGCTTTGAGGGTTTTCTTTTTTACGCTTTTGTTTCTGAAATTTCACGGTGAGGTGTCTGCTTGTAGATTCCCCGCTTTCATTGTGCGGGGCCCCTCGTGGACGCTTCTGCTCCGAAGGCTCACGTCCTTCCGTGCGAGGAGCACTCTCGTACGTTGCTTCTTTCTATTATTGCTCCAGTTCCAGGCACGTTTCCATTCCATCTTCCACCGTTCTCAGTGTTGCTTAAACAAGTCTCCAGGCTCTTACAAGAAAGAGGCTCTCCCCGCTTCCTTATGGCCCCTCTACAAGCCTACAGGTGCTCTAGAACAAGCTTCCTCTATTTCTTTGTTCAGTTACATTCCTCCACCTGCTTTATGTCTTCCAGAAATCCACTGAACTCTCTCCTGTCCGCCATGTCATGGGGAAGATTCTTCTTTTGTTCAGGGAAAAAATAATTTTGTTTGCAGTTTTGGATAAAAAGCAGCTTCTTGTTTTGAACGAATTATCTGATGTTTTAAGAGCATTGTCTTTCCTATGAAGGTCTGCGGCTGCGGTGCCCGCCCCCCAGGGTTGCAGATTGGTACGGCCTGTGGCCTGTTAGGAGGAAGCCCGCAGCAGGAGGAGAGCAAGCGCAGCTGTTTCCGAATTCACAGCCGCTCCCCATCGCTCCCATCACCGCCGGAGCTCCGCCTCCTGTCAGCTCAGTCCCTGTCTCCCATCCTCCAGACGGGACCATCTAGGTGCAGGAAAACGAGCGCAGGGCTCCCACGATTCTGCATTACAGTGAGCTGCGTAATTATTTCATTCTATATTACAATGCAATAATAATGGAAATAAAGTGCACAATAAATGTAATGTGCTCGAATCATCCCCAAACTATTCCTCCTTCCCCCAACACCGCACCATCCCCCCACAACCCCATCCTGCTGCCCCGACCCGTGGAAAGATTGTCTTCCATGAAATTGGTCCCTGGTGCCAGAAAGGGTGGGCACTATTGGTCTAGAGCACACGGAAGCAGATGATTAACTTGGTTCTAAATCACGATTAATAGTCCAGCCTGAGCCTGAGCATAAAAAACAGAAGCTCTCTCCTTGGCAGCCGCTCCTGGGTTTGCAGCCAGGCTGAAACGGCTTGGCGTGAGCTGTGTCCTGAAAGCAGGCAGCCTGGGGCGATGCTGGAACAGAGATAAAAGGACAATCATTTAGGGGACAGTGTCTCCGTTTCTGGTCTTCAAATTTAAAACTAGAGATCCAGCAGCCTCAGCATCTCAGATTAACACTT